CGACGCGGCAGGTGGGTGAGAAGGTGTGTGTTCCACGGGCGGTGTGTGAGACAGCGAGTCCGCGCAAGCTTGCCTTAGGCCACCACAGGTGGTCACAGTAGGTCTGGCACGGTGAACATCATCCTGAGGCAGCAAGTCCTGCAAAGCCCTGTGTCAATCATATTTGCTGGGCTTTGGACTTATAATTTTTTTAAAAGAAATCGCTGAATAGCAGGCAGTTAATGTAAGAAAGAAAACGTGTTGCAGAAGAAGCCAAGAAAACGAAACTTCTGAGTAATCTTGTTTACTGCTGTCCTCCTGTCCCCACCCTCTGAGCCAGCTGAAGAAGGCGAAGTTGTTTGTGGTTTTACACCTTGCTTAAGTAGGTCTCAGTTTGAGAGTCACCTAACCTCTCATCTAATTTAGAGTTGGTGTGAAAATGCTTTTTTTTTGGTCTTCTCCAAGTTGTGTTGAGCTTTGCCTTGTGCTTCCCCTCACTATCACTCCAGTCCCGCACTCCAAGCAGGTCAGTGTCTGCTAACAGGTAGTGTTATCCTCAGTTAAATTGTTCGTAAAGGTCCTGTTTCAAATCCAGCATCTACTCCATTCATCTCTGAAAGAGAGATATTCTTGCTTCATCTTTTACTCTCCCTACCTCAGGTCAAAGGAAAAGTAATGCTCGCTGGGGACAATGAAAAGGAATAGATCTACTCATTAATTGATGAGAACTGGTTTCTGATGATTTTCAAGTCCTTATTGTGTTACTTGCTAGGCTGAAACTCTTGCCCAGTCTTCATGTGATCAACAAGCTGATGACCAGAAAGCGAGGCAGCTGGTTTTAGTGGTTTTGTGTTTCCCGTGAGGAGAGGAAGGTGTGATGGCTTACTCTGAAGGACAGTAGAGGTGCTAGTGGTGGGTTTGCTCTCCTCTGCCCCACACCAGCCAGGAGGGTGGGTTACTTGTGTCTCTTCCCTCAAATAAGGGAGCAGTTGAAGAGGTAAGGGTGAAGCTTGTTGAGGCGTGCTTGCCTCTCTGAGACCAAGGTCTTGGCAACGATCACCCAAGAGCACCCTCAGATCGCTGAGCTTGTGGGTGAGGAGCATCTTGGTTTGGCTGGGGCTGTTAAATTGCCGGGGTTTCCCATACAGCAAGCACTAGCGTGGCTGGGAATACAAGTGAACTGGTGGGGCATTGACCTGTTTCCTTTAGTTCTGGACCCGAGTTTGATACTGAGAATACGGTCTGGAGGCACACCTGTGTCTGCTCGCTGCAGCTATAGCAGCACCCGAACTTGGGCGTCAGCTGTTTATTTTGTATCCCATGTTGCTCGGTGTGGTGTTAGTAAGTAACCCTGCAGTTCCTGCAGGGCTCGGTTCTCACCACACGGCCAGGCTTTGTCACTTCCTTCAGGAAAAAAAGATCTTGGACGGCTGTAGAGCAGCCCAGGGACACCGCGGACTGTACCAAAGCTTTTGGGTTTTGGCTTTGATGGTGCATCCCTCTTAAATGGCCATCCACGTGCTGGAGGGAATGCTGGTTTCCCTCTGCTTCTCAAACTTTTATGTAGCGGTATAGAGACAGTGTATAGCTTTTAATCTCCCCTTTTTACCTGCAGTGAAACTACTTGAGGGCCATGCCCAATCTATTATGAAAACCTTTGTAGCTATGGAAAGAACACTCTATAATCATCAAGAGTATTTCCTTGTTTCACTTGCAAATGCAAAGACTTTCTGTTTTCAGAACTAGTTTGTTGGAGGCAGCACTAAAATCCTATAAAAGGAGGGCAAACAAAATGGCATGTGACAGCCAGCTTAGTAATTTTGTACAACATGGTTATTTTACTGGGTGATGCACATACCTACGCATGCACATGTGACCAAGTGTCATGGGATGTATGGAAGGATTGATTAAAACCATGCCTTTCCCACATCTGGGTTATATTAGTCCAGAGAGAAAATATGCAGCTTAAAACCTCTGTGGATAATTAGCCTGGCATGTTGCTTATCAGAAGGCACCCTTTCCTAGGGCAGCTCAGCAGATGAGAAGGCAGGAGGAATGAACACCGAAATTGCTTATTCGCAAGCAATGTCTCCAGCTTCTGGCAGGGGTTGACTCATGGTTTTAATAAATCTGCTTAGGATGTATTAGTAATAGCATGAAAAAACAGCTTCAGTTCAGCCAGGGTGTTATTATTTTGGTGTATAATTCCTCCCATTAAAGGCAACAATAAGCAGAGTCTATATGGTGAGAACAACTTTCACATTAATGCTAATGAGAAGAGCACAGTTCGGTTGAACAGGGTTGCAGGGAGAGCCAGCACCGGTAGCAGTAGGCAGCCGGAAGGCCTCCTGCTTTCAGAAAGCCTTTGTTTGGAGAAAAATGCAAAATCATGATCCTTGAGGCATGCGGCGCTAGGGGGGTGGCAGGTCGAAGGGGAAGAAGTCAGCTTTTTTAAAGGGCAGATATCAGACTGTAGCATAGGACTCACCTGGAATAATTTTTTTTTCTTTTTATAAGGTTCTAGCGTATCAAGCATGAGAAAAGCATCAGTCAAGTGGGATGAAATATGTCTACTCTGAGTTACACCCTGGGCAAAGCCAGTACCTGCTGGGAAGAGGTAGGCTGCGAGTGTCCCCTGCTTTGGAGGAGGGGGGTGGATCCAGTGCCATCATCTGGTTCCCCTGCACATTGCTGCTATTCTGTAAGATGCCAAAATCCATACCTTAAAGGGTTTGTGTATTGTAAATTAGGCAGGTTAAGTCAATGAGATAGTAAGAATGAATAAACAAATGAACGTTACGTGCTGGGAAGTAATACAGCTGGGGACACTTAAATCCAGCTGTGTAGGAGAGATTTACTGGCAACTGTTGTTTCCTTTCCCTCACATGAAATAACCCAAACCCCATACCAGCTGGTAATGTCTGCTTGTGGCACAGTCCCGATAGTCGCACAGGGAGTCGGGACCCCTGGCTTCCCTCCCTGCTCTCTGGCAGTGCTGCTGTGTGACTTAAAAAGTTCTTTGCTTCATGTATAGGACAGTACAACAGCTCCCTGTCCTTATTAAGCAGGAGAGAGCTTAGTAAGTCATTCTGAGATCCCAGGAGGGGATTTTCATGCCTTCCATAACATGGTACAGGTTATTTGATTATTATTCGCTTTGGACAGTATTTGATGTTGGAGCATGGGT